TCCACTTCATCCATTTTCCAAAAAGGAAAAAAAAATAAAATTACATTTTCATTTTCATGGTTACTTGTCAAAATCACAAACAATATGCTGGAACAAGTAGTTTTTATTGTGAAAATGCCAGTGTGCATCTTGTTACTTGCCCTTCAATAAAAAACACAACAGTTTCTTATGTGTTCGCAAAATTCTACAGCTTCATTGTTCATTGTTGATGAAAGTAATTAATGTCATTCAAATTAGTGCTGAGCAAAAGTGAGAGTGAGTACCTTCCAATCCCAGTTCCAGAAATGTTGAATTGTGATGCATTTATCCCACGCCCATTTTTAGACACTTCTCCAAAGTCCCATCCTTCACCATATCTGAAAAAGGATATTAACAAAAATACTATCATGTCTGAGTGGAGACCACGTTAGAAACCAATGATGATGCAGGTATTATTGAGAATTGGAATAAGAAGCATTTGGATCCTTTATCCTTACACATAGATTCTTGGGCCATCTATTCCATTTTTCTCTTTCGATAAGTTATGGAGCATACTCCTAGCCTTTACCTGCACTCACAATGCAAATTATGATTTTCGTTTCATATGCGTAGTCATTGTATTCACAGAAGATATTTTATTTTTTTGCTAAGAAGTTTCATAACTAATGTGCTCCTTATATTTAACTTTGGGATGGCATTTTATCGCTTTATCCCTCAATCATTGTTTTCATACAAATCCACAAGATGGTGGAGGGTGAGGAGAGAGAATTTGATTCTATATTGCTCTGTTCTGTCATCTTTAGAATATAATCACCAGATTTTTGTCAAATATACTCAATAAAAAACTCAATGCCCCTCTTTATGAGAGGTTCTCTTATTAAATAGGATTAAAATAACAACTAAATATGGAAGTAATCAATTGCAATATTAATTAATGGTAAAAATAATTTATCTATATCTAATATAATTATAATAATATAATCGTAATCTTTGACGATCTCCAAAATTTTATTCAATCTTCGACGATATCCGTAATCTTATTCAATCTCATTG